AAATTCCATTTGTCCAATTGAATGAACTGAATGAAAACAATAATGAACAGTCGTCGTCGTCGTCGACATCTGAATTTAGCGTAAGTTATTTTCTATTTTCTTTTGCGGCAGTAGGGTTGGTGGCTTTTAACCCCATTTGATCAATGATTTTTCCCTTTCATATTATTTTTAGGTTGATCAAATGATTGGATATGGAATACCCAAAGGAAAAGAAAGTTTCATTCGTGTGTTAAGCAAGTGTAAAAGAGGCTATCGAAATTTAAACGCCTGTGGACTACGGCTAATAACTAAGTTTGAAGATCCAGATGCACCGACTGATATAGATAATTGACTATCAGAATGTATAAAACAATTATTGGAAATTATTCAGGTAGAATTAGCAATTCAGCCACAAGACAGGGTAGGGATTTCATTTTCCAACAGTAACAGTAGTAAGGGTGATTTTCATATTAGTTTTAGAGCATTCCGTCATTATTCACCGCGTGTAGTGATGTCAGAATTGGAAAAAATCATACAAAGTAATGCGAAGTTCTTTTTAGATGATGAGCTTAGAGTTAATGTTGATTTGGTTAGAGCCCCGATAGGATATGGTAGGCGTTGCTATATTGGTAAAAATACTGCGAATTTTTACAAAATTCATAAACAGTCCATTTTTAATCCAAATCTTGCCAATAAAGATAACACTTTATGCCTTGCCGTTTCGCTAGTTATATCTATTGCTCATGTCCATAATATAAATGAATATAACTTTTATACTTATAATGGAAATTACGAAGATTTAATCACTGCAGCACAAAAATTATGTTTTGACGCATGTGTTGACTTATCAAACGGCGGTGGCATTGATGAAATTGTAAAATTTCAACAGTATTTAGGCCAAGACTATAGAATAATTGTATTTTCCTCACGTGATGGACGAAATATTTATTTCAAAGCTCTTCACGAACATTATAAATACACTCTTAATCTTTTACTAGATACCGACGTTCAGCATTATTCAGTAGTCTTAAAACCTACAGCTGCATTTGGAACAGCCTATTTTTGTTCATTTTGTTGTACTGGATACACTACAAAATTTGCACATAAAAAGTGTCCAATAAAATGCAGTAGATGTTTTTGTGGACCTCCTTGCGATATTATGTTTGATGTAGTATGTAATGATTGCCATAGGTGTTTTGTTAGCCCTGTTTGCTACGACAGACACAAGAAAATCGATATTTGTTCCAAATATCAAATATGTCCAGACTGTAATGTGAGTTTTACTGTAAGAAAAAGAGTTGAACATGAATGTGGTATCAAGTGGTGTAAAATGTGCAGAGATTATACACAAATAAGACACGAGTGTTTTATGCCTCCGCTTAAAAAGAAAGAAAACAAAAAAAAGAAGAAAAATGGTGAGGAAATTGAAGTGCATCCCAATTTTCTTTTTGTTTTCTATGACTTTGAATGTTATCGAACATCAAAATTGGATGATGATTCAACTAAAATGCAACATGAAGTCATGTTGTGCGTGGCACACCAGGCTTGTTTCGAATGTTGTAATACTGAGTCAATCCGTGAAAAATGTGATAACTGTGGAACACGTGAACATGTATTTAAAGGCAATGATGTTGTAAAAGAATTTATGGAATATTTGGGAAAAATAGACGAAGAATTCAAACAAATTACAATTATAGCTCATAACGCACAGCGTTATGATTCCCATTTCATTTTAAAATTCATGTACAAGAATACCGCCACATGGAACTTGTATGAAAAATCACTAATTATAAATGGTACAAAAATACTTCAAATTCGGTCTGGCCGCTATCGCTTTATTGATTCCCTAAACTTTTTTGGGTGTTCACTTGCAAAATTGCCAAAAATGTTTTCTTTAAAAAATCACATGAAAGGTCATTATCCTCACTTCTTCAATACCCCAGAAAATAAACATTATATTGGTGCATTGCCTGACATCCAATATTATGGCTTTAATAATAAGAGTTCAAAAGAGCGAAATGCATGCGTTAAATGGTATAATGCTGAAAAGCAGTCAGGGAAAATTTTCAATAATTGGAAACAACTTTTGGCTTATTGTAAAGAAGACGTCAACATATTAAGACTAGCCTGCTTGAAATATCGCGACATTATGCTTAAAACAACTGACATTGAACCATTTAAGCAAGTTACATTAGCAGGAACCTGTATAACTGTATTTCGAACTCTTTTTCTAAAGCCAAATCTAATATCAGTAATTCCACGGAATGGGTATAGGTTTGCCGACAACCAATCATTCAAAGCACTCAAATGGCTTGAGTGGGAAAGTCATTTACGACAAATAAAAATTCACACAGCTGCAAATGGTCGTGAAATTAGACTTTCAGGTGACATTTTAGTAGATGGATTTGTCCACCCTAAAACAGTATTTTCCTTTTTAGGGTGTTATTGGCATCAGTGTGTTGAGTGCTACCCGAATCAATATTTCAATAATCCGAATGACCGATCTGCAAAGACACGATCACTTTACGAAACATATTTAGCTAGAGCAAACAAAATTCGATCAATGGGGTATGATCTTATTGAAATGTGGGAGCATCAATTCGATAAAATGCAAAATGAGAACCCGGCCATTGAATTATATATTAAATCAGTCGATCACCTCAGAGTACCACCATTGGATCCAAGAGATGCCTTCATGGGCGGTCGAACTGGCGTATGCAAACTCTATCATAAAATTGGTCCTAACGAGAGAATCTTATATTACGACGTAACTTCATTATATCCGTACATAAATAAATACGGTAAATACCCCGTTGGTACACCAAAAGTCTTGGTTGGCCGTGATCTTTTGAATCGTACTGTGTTTGATATTGAAGGCTTGATTAAATTAGATATTTTACCACCCAGACGGCTTTATCATCCAGTTTTGGGGGTTAAACTCCACAGTAAATTAATGAACGTTCTTTGTTATAAATGTGCCATTGAATTGCAAGAAATAGAATGCAACCATTCTGATAATGAACGATTGATTCACGGTACATATGTAGCCGACGAATTACGCCTTGCTGTTCAAATGGGGTATACAGTGTTAAAAATATATGAAGCATGGGAATTTAATACTATTCAATATGATCCGGCTACCAAAACAGGTGGCTTGTTTGCAGAATACATTAATACATTCGGTGCATCTGGATCTTCAAACTTAGTTATTAGCCGTAGTCCACAGGCGTTTAAATTTCGATAGCCTCTTTTACACTTGCTTAACACACGAATGAAACTTTCTTTTCCTTTGGGTATTCCATATCCAATCATTTGATCAACCTAAAAATAATATGAAAGGGAAAAATCATTGATCAAATGGGGTTAAAAGCCACCAACCCTACTGCCGCAAAAGAAAATAGAAAATAACTTACGCTAAATTCAGATGTCGACGACGACGACGACTGTTCATTATTGTTTTCATTCAGTTCATTCAATTGGACAAATGGAATTT